GATCAGTGGCGATATAGTGCGAGGTGACCTTGATACATGGCGATATAACGCGAGGTAATTATGACACGTGACGATATAACGCAAGGTAATCATGACAAGTGGCAATCTAACGCGTGATAGTCTTGACGCGTGGTAACTTAGTACGTGGAGATATAGCGCGAGGTAACCTTGATGCATGGCGATATAACGCGAGGTAATTATGGTGCGTGGCAATATAACGCGAGGTTGTTACAGCACGTGTCGAACTAATGTGTGATAATCTTGACGCGTGGTGATATAGTGCACAGCGATATAGCGCAAAGTAACTTTAACGCGTGGTGATACAACGCGTCGTAATCTTGACACGTGACGTTATAACGCAAGGTAATTATGACACGTGGCAATCTAACGCGTGATAGTCTTGACGCGTGGTAACCTAGTACGGGGCGATATAGCGCAAGGTAACCTTGATATGTGGCGATATAACGCGAGGTAATTATGGTGCATGGCAATACAACGCGAGTTTGTTACAGCACGTGGCAAACTAATGTGTGATAGTCTTGACGCGCGGTGATATAGTGCACGGCGATATAATGCAAAGTAACTTTGACGCATGGTGATAAAGCGCGTGATAACCTTGACACGTGACGTTATAACGCATAGTATTCTTAACACATGGTAATATAATACGTAATAACAACGTGGCGATATAACGCGTGATACGACGGTAATCTAAACGTGCAGTAACATAACGTAATCTTGAAGAGTGGCAATAAAACATACGGTAATATACCGCGCAACGATACTACGTAAAACGATTCGACGAGTAAAGATATAAGGCGAGGCAATTTCACCGATCAACTGAATTCTACCTTCCTCCACTTTAAAATTCATTATTCCACGATAAATACTCTCATACCGAAAGACTGTGCCTTCCGGTTATTCAGAAAATGGTCCATTCCGAAGCTTCGAGATTAAGTGGAATTCTTTCGAACGGTAGAACGAAGATAACGGGATGAAAAGTGAAGGGATATTCAACGATGTTCCCGGAAAGACCCTCGAAGATAGACTACCTCCAGTCAGCTAACAAACTGCCGTCAAACCCGAGCTGATCTCGATTTCCCTTGGATCTCCGGCACGTTCTACCGAAATCACGTCCGGAAAGGGGGATCTCCGTGCAAGTCCGTAGATACTTCCTCTCTCTCTGTTCTGGAAGTTACGTAAGTTCAGACTCGTGGCGTCTACGTAGATCGTTCCTCCGTTACGTGGCGCACCGTTTGTTCTTGGTTACGCGCGTCATTCCGCTCGTTTTCGTTACGCGATCGTTACGAAACCGCGTGGAGGTCACGAGCGTGGTCGAAACACATCGATAGTCGCGATCGATAACGAAACAAATTTAGCCGGGAACCGCTGCTCGAATTCGGAATAGTTGAACGATACGGGGCAAACATTGGGAGAAGCTCGAAATATTTCCACGGAAATTCGATTGTTTGTTTCCGGTTAATTCCCGGATTTCGGTGACGCATGTTTCAGGAAATGTATCTGATCGTTCTTGTTGCTATCGCAATTTATTTATATTTATTTTCCTGTGATCAATCTTTCGCGTACACGTAAATAAACTTGTGTATCTTTTTCTCGTCAAAGACTACGACCGAATATCTTTCAGTGGAAATAGAAAAACTTCCTTCGGAAAACTTGAGAAGCTCAATTTTCAAAAGAACCCTGGCTAAGAAGTTTCCAAGGGATCCGACAAAATAGGTGGAGCCACGTTTTACCTTGAAATTAAGGTTTTTTTCCCGACTTGATGGAACGTGACGGAGCCGAGCATCGTCGGGCGTTATTGATCTGGCGTAACGCGAACCTCGAGATTTATTAAGTTAGCTCCTCGAACACGTGTCCGACGCGGGTCGTGCAAGGACGCAAGTTTCGCGTTTAATTCCATTTTCGAGAAGGGCTAGGTCGACGTAACCTTTCTGACCGTAGCTGCCATCGACTATCGTTCGAAACCGGCTTTACTGATACCCGACTGAACCTTCTACTTTCTACCAATCTTTCGTTTAATCGTCCCTTCTGGTCGATGAAACTCCAATTCTAAAACTGGACGTGACGGCTGCTTTTCTATTTATTATACTCCATATTCTGGGAAGTTCGGTTTAGTTGCCCTTTGTGGCTCGACTTCAGCAACGAATTATGAAGGTCAGGTGAAGTGGTCTAAATACGGACTGGGTTCTAAATATGGACTGAAGCATAGAACTATGTTAGAGCTTTAGTAGGAATTGTATGAAACTGAAGAAACCAGGTTGAGGAAAATGGAGGGTCTTAATTGTTGATCGTAAGGGAAGTATAGAATGAGTGTACATTCAAATGTTACTTCGTGGAAATTATTGACAAGTTTGGTAATATGAAATAAAATTGGAAGTTCATATTTAAACCACTTTACAGTGAAGCTGTTTATAGACTTCAGATTAAATACAATAAATATACGTGACATATATGTCAAACATATGTGACATACATGTGTTAGTGTATTCGTAATAACGATAAGAGAAATTGTCCCTATATCTGTGAAGTTAACATCGTTTTCAAGGTTGAGATCGATCGAAATATTTCAGGGTTCAAACTAATTTTCTAATAGCGTAACAAAATACGGTCGATTGAAGAATTTCGTTAGCAACTAAATTCTCGGTAATATTCATTAAGTAATGAACTAATTATCTAATGAACCCGTGTGGATAAACAGAGCAGCGGATCTGGGTCAAACGTGGATTTTCCTCGAGTCCCTAATCCTATCATGACAATCATAGCTTTAACCATGAAACACCTCATAAAGCAATCATAGCTAGGGTATTATCATAACAAGTATAAAGTCTCCAATTTTGTTACTGTCAAAATTAGCGAGCCTTAAAGCTGGTTTACTTAAATAGAGTAGTGAAATGTGGATTAGTGGCGTAGGCAAGAAATGTGGTAGTAGAGTCAGTAAATGATATAATATGATACATGTGCATGTATGTACACACATACATATGTATATGTATGTATACATACATACATACATACATACATACATACATACATACATACATACATGTATACATATGTAGATACTCATATAGATACTCATATATGATATGTAGATACCCACACGTATGGACATTGACATGCACATGCGTATACATATGCATATACATGCATGCATGCATACATGTGTGTATGCATACATATATGTGTACGTGTATATACGTCTTATTTGTTTAATTATCACTAATAACATTATTGATATTGATAATGTATTCATATTACAATCACCATATGTTACAATATGTTACACATATGTTATGTCAAATAATTCAGTGAAATAATGAAACAGTAGAAAAAAGGAAAATCTAAAACAGCAAAATAATGATGATAAAAATGATGAAATGGTAAAATAGTAAAATTTATAAAATGACAAAAATAGTGGTATAATGGTACAATAACATGAATAACAAAATGGTGAAGTAATATTACTCTTCACTAAGAGTAACACAGTAAAATAATACAATAAACAATAAAATATTAAAAGACAGCAGATAAAATAAAGAAATAAAATGTCCGTAAAAGAATAATATCTATCAGCGTACATTAGCATAATAAGCTTAGTACAAAGAAATAATTTCGAAAATCGAAGCCCATGTTCAGCAGACCCCCCACGCGATATTTCACCCTCCACGAGACTCCGTTTCTTCTATTTTGTCCCAGCGTTTATTACGGCGTTATTCGTGGGAAAAGCGAAAGAACGCCGACAGACAACCCTCGGTTGTTTAGAAAAAGAGAGAAGGAAGCGGAAAAAGGCGTCCGGGGCGATTTACCGAACGACGATCATTCGCAGCGAAGCTTTTACGTGATCGGAGAGAAACGAACGGGATCGATTCTCGATCGTGTCTTCCTCTCTCGCCGTTTAATTGCTGGCTGCCACGAGCCGATTAAAAGTTTCCGCGTCGTTTCATGCGAACATTTGCGTGAACTCGCTTCCGCGTGAACCGGAAAAGAGAAGAGGAAGAGACCAGCTCGAACTTTCGCCTCGCGTGATTCGATCGATGTATCTTTCTGTTCAACCCTTGGTTTCTTTCTCCTTTTTCTTAGTTCTGGGACGTCGAAATTGTAACTGGGAGTATAGATAATAGAATTTTTGCCTTTCTTACTTTGCATGTATTACATTATTGGATGGAGAAGGCTATGGAGGAAGCTTTTTATTAATCTCACTAATCTTCTTCCTAAAATTCTCAAAACAATACATCTTCAAATTTGTAGATCTTCAAACAGTTAAATTCTCAAAGTCATAAATCTTGAAATTTTCACATTCTCATATTTCTAAACTCCTAACGAGCTAAATACTTACATTTGTAGATTTACAAATCACTACATCGCAAATCCCTACACCCTCAAATTTGCACATCTCCAAATCAGTACATCCCCATATCACCACATTCCTTAAATTCTAGACCCCCAAATAACTAAATTTCCAAATTCCTACATTCCCAAATTTGTAGACCCCCAAATAGCTAAATTTCCAAATTTGTAGACCCCCAAATTTCTACATTCCCAAATCTCTAAACCCCCAAATAGCTAAATTCCCAAATTCTTACATCCCCAAATCTCTAGACCCCCAAATAGCTAAATTCCCAAATTTCTAAATCTCGAAATTCCTACATCCCCAAATCTCTAAACCCCCATATAACTAAATTTGCAGATTTCCAAATCCTTAAATCTCTAAATTTCCAAACCTCCAAATTCTGAAATTCTCAAAACTCCCTAAAAAAAAAATTAATTCGACACGACAGTTGTCATCAACTATTACGACAAAGTTCACTGATTCACTCGAGCAATTTTGGTCTATCGATTACCACTCTTACAATTATTCGCTTTTACAAATATTTTACCCTTGATATCAATCAATAAATGATCTTAAAGTAAGAACACACTACCTGAGAAAGAAGTAGCTTTCGAATGCCCTTGACAGTCAACGATCATAAAAAGGATACATTTCTTGGAAGAAGTCTAGGTGCGGTGGTTGAAGGATATCCAAGGCTGAGAGAACCTGTGAAAGAATAATTGTAACGAATTCACAGCAAGCACTTTGATGAACACAAATCTTTTATTGATACAATCTAACTTTTATCAAAATATATTTATTTTCTTAATAAACTAACGACGATTAACTACCGTCATAAATCTGTTAACGTATTAAATATAATTGGAGAAAATGTTCAAGTCTTCATTAGCACCTCGAATTAAAATATAAACGAACCGTACAAAACTCATAATTTGCAATTGTAATCTTGTCGTTTTACTTTTGTACAACTTTTCCTTAAGAAAATGTTAAAAGACTTAAAAGCTGTTTTCTTTTGATGCGAAAGAGATCGTGTTAGTTCAAGTAAATAGATCTAAAAACTGTGTTTTGATGCGAAGAAGTATAATTAGGGATTCAGGTAATGTTTAATGAATATCTTGAGGAAGAAAAATAATTTGAAAAATGAGTTTAAGGTACTCACGTTTTCGTGTTTGAAGAAGCAGAGCATCTTCAGCTCCCTGAAGACCCGTTTGCTGCTCACGAGGCTCTGAAAGACGTTCGGCAGTTTCTTCAAGGCCACTCTCCTACCGTCCCTCGGATCCGTGACTGCCCTGTAAATCAACGATAATTCATCATTAATAATACCTCCTTCAAAATTAATCGCTATATTTCAAATTAAAGCTATATTACTATCAGCTTTTATATACCGCTTGAAAATTTATTTCTCTTAAAGGTCTGGACTTCTCAAACTTCATTTAATGTATTTCGGTTAGAATTGAAACTGGAATCATGATAAATTTACCAACTTCTACATTTCCCAAATTCTAAATTTCCCAACTTCCAAATTTTCCAATTTCTAAATTT